AGCCAGAAGAGCTCAGGATCTTTCTTCTTTCCTGCTTTCACCAATTCAGGCCCACCTTTCACAAAGATTCATGGCACTGATTACTCAATTTCCACTGAAGATGTCAGAGTCCCATATAATCGGCTCTTTGAATCAAGGGTTACATTTCAAAAATCTTAGTTTAATATTTTGTGACACAGTCATTCAAAGGTCTGACTCTTAGTTTGGTTTATGTCAACATTTAGTTTTAATGACTGTCATAGATGAAAAAGATACTTCATAAAGAAAAGTAGATCTAAGTGGGAGAAATACATGATGCCATGTAGATTGGTGAGTCCCTTCTAGAACATCCATTTGGAGGAAGTGCCCTGGCCAGCCTTCTTCACTTCTCTCCTTTTCCATCTCAGTCTTGACTCTACAGACTTATCTCTTCTCCCCACTTTTCAGGTTCCTTTTATGTATTATCTTCCCTCCATTAGAATGTAAGCTTCTTGAGGGCAAGGTCTATCTTTGTTTTCATTTTTATTTGTATTGCTAGTCCATAGCACAGTGCTTGGCACATAATAAGTGCTTATTGACTAATCGGCTTGACTTAGCTACACTTATTCAATAATGATATTCATTATTCAATTCCATACACCAATTATGTGAAGATTTTTCTTGAAATTCAGACAGTAAAGTTTCATCTTCCCTGATGTCAATCAGTTGTCCTTGAAAACTCATTGGAGAGTGTTGAATTTTTTATATTTTTCCTCATCAGCCACTCCTGAGTGACATTGGCACTGGCCCCACCATCCAACAGCTCCTCCCTGCCTGTGAATCCTGTGAGAGATTGTGGCCACTGACTACCCTGACCAGAAGCTGGTGGCTTAAGGAGCCTAGGGCATTTAACTGGTCTCCTGTGGTGAAATACTACAAATAGTAAATAATTCCAATAGCTAGGAGAACAGGTTATTGTTTTTCTGCCTGCTTACCAGATATCTGGGGTTCCTGGAGGTCAGGATATCTGCCTAAAGCAAAGAGTATCCTTCAGAGTCAAATACACTGGTCAAAAAAGCCAGAAGGAGAGTGAGAGATGGAAAAAGAGAGACAGAGACAAAGACAGAAAGAGATAGAGATGGAGACAAAGAAACAGAGATGGAGATATCAGAGGTACCCACAGAGACATAAAGAGATTCAGAGAAAGATAGAGAACCAGAGGACCAGAAAGGGGGTCCCACAGAGAGATAGGCAGAAAAAAAGTGAAAGAAAAAGGAGACTGATTAATGCAAAGAGACAAGTATATGACCAGAGAGAAAGAGATATGAAATTCCTTCAGGGTATGTATGGAATACGCATGAGTGCAGAACTGGGGGAAAACTACTTAGTGCGGGAGGGAGAAGGAGACAGGAGACAGATGAACCCAGGCCAGTTCTAGGAAAGAATTGCAGCCCAAACTCAGAACATCTTTTCCCATGTTAGCATTGCCCTCTGGGGCTAGATGCCATTGCTAGCCACCTGGGTGTACAGCTAGAACGTGACTGATGCTGAATGTCCCAGAAATTGCCCATGCTAACACAGGTGAGTCAGGCTTCATTGGAGGATTCTTTTCATAGAAGATGACAAGTGAAAAGGGCAGGAACTTCCCTGGTTGTCTGTCAAAAGCATTGAGAAGAATATGCCCATCCCATTTACAATGCAAGGTAAGCTCCTTCCAATGATTCTAAAGAACAGGAAAGCTAACTAAGAGCCAGAGAAGTGAGGAAGCCTGAGCCATGGAAAGAAATATATACTATTTAGAGAAGCTTTTTCTTTGGTGATTAAGAATTGGAGAATTGCTGAATGAGTTATGGTACGTGACTGTAATGGAATATTATTGTGTTAGAAGAAATGACAAGCAGGATGATTTCAGAAAAATCTGGAAACACTTACATGAATTGATACAGAGTGAAGTGAGAAGAACCAAGAGAACACTGTACACAGTAACAGCAATACTGTACATTGAAGAACTATGAATGACTTAGCTATTCTTGGTAATACAATGATCCAAGAAAATCCCAAAGACTCATGTTGAAAAATTCTATCTGCTTCCAGAGAAATAACTGATGTTGTCTGAATATAGACTGAAGCACACTATTTTTCACTTTTTCTCTTTTTCTTTCTTTCTTTCTTTTTTTCTCTCTCTCCCTCCCTCTCTCTTCCTTCCTTCCTTCCTTCCTTCCTTTCTCAAGTCTTCTTGTACAAAATGACTAATTTGGAAATGTTTTATATGAGTGTGATGAGGTCTAGATTCTTGGGGTTCTGGGACCCTGACACAGCACAGTGGGCTCTGCCCAAATGAATTCAACCCAAATCTTCTTTCAGCCAGAGGTCAAGTTTTATTAGGGATGGGCCATACAGGCCAGACTCTTAAGGAATGTCACCATTAGTAACCCTCTTAAAGATGAGTGGACATGGGGAAATCTCAGCGTTTAAAGGGGGGCAAGGTGGATCTTATATACACTCAAATTATTTTGGATATTCAGAGGAGGGGCTGGGAGAAAGATCCTGAAGCTGGGGTGTTTAGGAAGAATTCTGATGGGAATGTCTGGGAGGTTGAATAGTCAATGGGGCTAGACAATGGAACAAAGAACTGGAAGGAAGAGGATGATAAGATCAAAGGTGGGATCAAAGACTAGATTTCTTAGAGAGATAGGGAGAGATCAGAATAAGAATAAGAGATTAAGGAAAGGCCAGTCTAGTGGACTATAGCCTCAGGCAACTGTATGAGACCAAAGTGAGGTCAAAGAAAGTTTAAGGGTTTTCTGGGGCCTGTAGATGAATAGAACTCAAATTCTTTTTGGGGTGAGGGGCAAAGGTCTTGGCTTGGGCCCATACCCATTATTTGCACACATATAACCTATATCAAATTGCTTATTGTCTTAAGGAGGACTGAGGGGAGGGAGGGAGGAATAGAATTTGAAACTCATAACTTTAAAAAAAAGTTAAAAATTGTTTTTATATGTCATTGGGGAAAATAAAATATTATTAAAAATAAAATTTAAAAATTAAAACAAAAAGAAAGAAAAAATAAAAACCCCTTGTTCTATTTGTCATTTTGTTTGTTTCAGGGAGAAGTGGGTGGAGAAGGAGGAGAAGTCGAGACAGAAGGTCAAGTATGTCCAGAAGTGTGACGGGACCCAAAGCTAGCCTTTTGGGCCCTGTCTCTCTGCCCCAGGCTGATTGCCTACTCACCACATTTTGCCTGAATGTGGCTTGTAAAGACTTTCCATCTGCCAGCAAACCCTGAAGAACCTCAACAGCCCATTGAAACCTGGAGGTTCCTTGGTGTTTCTTGATGCCCTTAAATGCAACTACTACATGACTGGTGAGCAGAAGTTCTCTAGTCTCCTTTCTACTCAGGAGGAAACTGAGGCTGCAGGAGAAAGCTGGTTTCATGAATGAACAGCCTGAGGTCATCCCTCATTGTTATTCCTGAGCCTACACAGGTAAGGAAGGGATTCTCTACTTGGTGGGGAGGAACAAAATAAATCCATGGGTATTCAAGGTTAATCATATTCTTCTTTTTCACCAAAGGTAAATTTGTCAAAACTCAGTTTTTCTATGGCTGTGGATAAAACCTCTTCTACGCCTTTTCCTAATGGCAAGGTGTGAGGTATGGGCTGCTTGCCTCTGGGGTATTGGGGCCTGGATAAATTGTCTGAAAGGCATACTGTGAGCACTCAGTTTCTATTAAAGAAATACACTTGCCTCACCCAGCTGACTCACCCGTGGTTCTCACTGCTGTTCCTGCCAAAAAAGATGGAAAACAAAGGTGGATCAGTGGCTGAAGGCCATACCGTACATGTTGGGATGGAAACATAATGTTCAATCAGTCAATTGACAAGGATTCCTGGAGGACCTACTATGTGTTCAGAATGGTGTTAGATGCTGTGAGATTGAAGGATTTATGAAACCAGTGTCTCTACTCCTAAAGAACTTATAATCTAGTTCAGGAAATAACTGACTGAAACACAGAAAACAAATAGAGAATGGCTGTCTGTCATTCATTCATTCATTCATTCATTCATTCAATGTGAATTTATTAAGTAACTACTAGAGGCAGCTAGGTGGTACAATGGATGAAGCACTGGGCTTAGAATAAGGAAACCCTGAGTTCAAATCCAGCCTCAGGTATTTGTTAGTTGTATGACCCTGGGCAAATCACTTAACCTATGTCTTCCTCAGTTTCCTCAACTGTAAAATGGGGGATAATAATAATAGCAACTACCTCCCAGGGTTGTTGTGAGGATCAATTTGTAAGGCACTTCACACGCTGTATACACACACACACACACACACATACATGTACACAATTATTCCTTTCCCTTCCACTACTCTGTGACAGGTGCAGTGCGTAGAAAATCACCCTCAGAGTCAAGGATGATCTGACACACACTGGCTGGGTGACCTTGGATAGCTCCTTTAAGGTCTTAGATCTCCCAGGCAATTCTCTAAGATTATAGCTTGAAGAACAGTTACTTATCTGCTTGATAAAGGGAATTTCTTCACCAGGAGTTCTCTATCACAATGAATCAAACTCCAGACGAAAAAAGATACAAAATTGGCACGGTGCTGGGCAGTAGGAATGCAAAGTTCCTCCCAGTTCCTCACTCTCCTCACCTACCATGACCTAACCTTCTCCACTCTACCTCAGGTACACATAAGGATGGTCATACCTTGGATCTTACTGTCACCCACAAATCTGCTGCTCTGTTCATTAACTCCAAAATTCCTTTATCTAATGGTAACTTTTTATCATTCCATTTTTTCTGATGCCTTACTTCCCTTTAAGAACTCTGCTCTTCTACTCATTGAGACCTCCAATCCTTCCACCATTCAATATTCACCCACACCATCACCTGCACTGGCTACCCTCTCCTTCCTTCTTTATCTTGTCCTCAGGAGGTACCAGTTAAAATCTACAGTATCTTCTACTCTTCAATCCCTTGCCTCTTCTTCTATTGTCATTCAAGCATTGGCAAACCCCACTAGATTACTCTACCATCTGCCTCCTGTCTTATTCATGTGCTGTTGAATGGAACAAATTAGAGAATGTTATGTTTATCCTGAAAGCAATTTTGTATATTTATTAATTGCCTCTTTTTTGCTGTTGTTGTTGGGTTATTTCATTTGCGTCTGACTCTTTGTGACCCCATTTTGGTTTCTTTTCTTTCTTTTCTTTTTTTTTTTGCAAAGATGCTGGATTGGTTTGTCATTTCCTTCTCCAGCTCATTTTACAGATGAGGAAACTGAGGCAGACAGGATCAAGTGACTTGCCTAGAGTCACACAGCTACTAAGTGTCCGAGGCCAGATTTGATCTCAAGAAGATGAGTCTTTCTGATTCCCAAGGGCAGTGCTCTATCCATTGCATCACCTAGATGACCCACATGTTGTCTCTAGCATTAGAATATAAACTCCTTGAGAGTAAGGATTGTTTGATTTTTGTTTTATGTCCCTAGCACTAAGCACAGTGCCTGAGACAGAAAAATGCTAAAATAAATGCTTGTTAACTGACTTCATGGAGGAGTTCTGACTTGAGCTGTGCCTTAAAGGATGGCTAGGTTGGAGCATTTAGAATAAGTGATGAGGAACAGAGAGGGCATTGCAGGTGATGGAGGAGAGAAGCAGGAACAGAGACACAGAGGCAGGAATTTATTCATTGATAGAATTCTGCAAACACTGAACATTTATTAGATTCTTTCTTTGTACAAGATACTACACCAAGTGGTGGAGGAGAAATTAAGAAAAATACAACACAGTTCCTTCCCTCAAATAGTTTGTATTCTAATTGGGGTGATGAGACATTTGCATGAATAACTATAATGCAGACCTAAAATAGGATATATGTGTAGAAGCAGAATAAAGTGTTGTGGCCTCAGTTTCCTCATCTGTTAAATAAAGGTGGGCTAGATGGCCTCCAAGATCCCTTCCAGCTCAATTTATGATCTTACTCTAACAGGGTTATACAGAGAAAGCACAGATTTTCCCTATTATCTTGCTGTTGAGCATGGAGGAGCTTTGAGACAGCTTGTGGCCATGAGGTGACCCACAGCTAAAAGGACCAGGGCATTTGGTATTCTTTGGAGACATTTTTTTTAATCCATCAAGCAACATGTTCACTGTGCCTACTATATGTATGCATTTTCAATAGTGGATATCAGTAACTACTATATACCGGTACCTAAGGGGATCAGGCAATAGACTAGAAATGAATTTCTTTTCTATTTTCTTCATACTGGATTTTCTAAGGAATTTTCTGGGTTTAGGAACTCTCACTCTGTCTTATATGGTGAAAATCACTGGATGATAAGAAAAGCTATCCACTTATATTTATATTCCAGTCAGCTCAGTACAGTCTATAAAGCTGACTTAATCCTAGGAATGAACCAGCTGATGGCTCAGTGGATAGAGCACTGGGGCTGGAGTCAGGAAGACCTGAGTTCAAATCCAGCCACAGATGCTTCCTTACTATGTGACACTGGGCAAGACACTTAACCTTTCTTTGCCTTAATCCACTGGCTCCAATGGAGAAGGAAACGGCAAACCACTCCAGTATCTTTGCCAAGAAAACCCCATTGACAGTGTGGTCCCCAGGGTCACAAAGAGTCGGACACGACTGAATGACTGAAGAACAAATCCTAGAGGCAAAAACTGGCTGCTGCAACATGTGAGAAAAAATGATCAACCCCACCAAAAAGTGGAGAGAGAGATCTGGGGATGCGCTGGTGGTGACAAGGTTCTGGCTGTAGACGGAGGGGCTTAGAACCAGTTTGACTGATAGAAGTGCTTTTTCCCCAGTTATGCTGACCCTGTTATTGACAAGGAATAGGACTGGCAATCCCGTCCTCACCCCAGTGGTTTATTTAACCCCACCCCACACCAGTCTGCACTCGGGAAAGTCAAACTCCGAAGATGAAGAATTTCTCTCTGTAGGCTCCCCTTGTGGGAACTCACTTTGTCTAGGGACATAGTCCATATGGACATATCCAATTAGCCTCCGGGTTCTGCCTCCACCATTTCATCTTGTCTTTGTATCATTCTCTGTGCCTAGTTGAGAGCCCAGAACAAAGTAAGTAGATATTTATACATGCTTGTTGATTGATTGATTCATTTTGCATTTTAATTAACTCTAATCACATGCATGTGCATAATATAGTTTTCACTCTGATTTTGCACTCATGGCCTCTTGATGGGTCACTGTTAAATCAGTGAGGGCCCTTGGGGCCTGGAGCAAAGATTCTCCTCCTGCTTTTGTTCCCTTACTACTCAGTCTCTGACAGTGACCCCTGAGCTTGCCCTCAGACTGTATCCTCACTGGCTGGACTGGTTAAGACTCAAAGCACCATGGCAGCCTCCTCATCATTTGTGGATGGGCAGTTCTGAGAATGCAGAGGATCTTTCCTTGAGCTGTTACTCCTCCTGCTCCCTTGAACCACCAAGCTATGTCCTATGTCATGCTTGAATGCTTGGATACTTTTTTAAAAAACATTCTCTGCCCCTGAGATGGAAGCTTTAAAGGTGGGACCAGGTCAAGGCATAAAACATAAGGCTAAGGTATAAACAGGCCCCACAACATCAGCAGGGGTTGTGGTTTTCCTATGGGAGGGAATTTTGAAGGAGTATGAGTAACCTGAGCTTCTGCCTGCTAGAAGACATGAAACCACAGACTTCTTGCTAATGAATGACCTGGCTCCTTCCCCTCACAGCAGGCACCCTCCTGGGCATTGTTCATTTGAAGAAAAGTTGAAACCTAAGCAACTCCTGAGATTTGCTTTTCTTTTGGGGAGGAATTCAATAAACAACCAAGCTAAACCATAAGTAAACAGTGACTGGGGATGTTTCAAGGAGTGATTGCAAGATTGTTTAACTGACCTAACACTTAGCACAGTGCCAGGCACGTAGAAGGCAATTAATGTTTATCAAATTGAACTGAGTCATGGAGGACTTTATCTTGCTTTAACTGTCTCCATAATGGGGATAGCAGGAAAGACATGGCTAAAGGATTATGAGGAAGATTTGGATTCAGAGCCTGCCTCTGACACTATATGGCCCGGGGTAGAACATGTAAACTCTCAGGCAACTAGCTAAGACTTTTCTACCAAGTTATAACCCTTTGGTATGAGCCAAGATATCACAAATCCTCCAGATATTTACCATCCACTCTCGTGGGGAAGTTTCACAACATCAACCTAAGTAAACATTTAAAATGCAAGAAGAAATAAATTTACTATGCATCAGGTGAATCCCTCAAAAAAAAGCAGGAGTTGTCATCGTGCTATCAGACAGAGCAAAAACAAACATTTAAAAAATAAAGAGGGATAAACAAAGAAATATATTATGATGAAAAGAATCATAGACAACAAACCAATATCAGTAATAAACTTACATGTTTTAAATGCATTCAAACTCACAAAGGAAAAATTATCTGAGCCTCAAGAAAATGTAGAGAGCAACACAATAGTGACAGGATACTTCAATATCCCTCTATCAAATTTAGATAAGTCTAAAAGAAAAATAAACAAAAGGGAAGATACGGAGCAAATTTCTTGAGAAACTATAGTTAAAAGCCTTATGGCATCTTCTAAATAGGACAGCAAAAGGATATACATATTTCTTTGTACTGCATTAAGTTGCTACAAAAATTTACCATGTATAAGGGCACAGAG